TTATATATTCAGAATTAGATGACAAGAAAACCATTCTCTCTCTGTTAATCTACACTTGTATTCAAAGAAACTGCAAAGGTAGTTTGCTAATCACACTGCTCTACTTATGTGCTCAGAGCCTTCAGAGCATTTAAAGAATGATCTTACATTGAATGACACGAATTTATCAACTATGAAAATATCGAAATTACGCGATACTTTAAAAAGTCAGTATATGTCAATGGGTGTTTTTTTCTAAAAAGTTAAAGTTCTCTACGCGATGGGAGAAAATGATCTTCATGCGGATAAAAGCAAATTTTCCATCGCTAAATTACTATCTCTACCAGTGTAGTTATACTTCAGTAGTGATACTGTGCTTCACCTAAATGTAATTGCGGAAATAACAGGGAGGATATTCAGCATTATTTTCTACACTGTTCCCTATATAATACTCAACGACAAGATCTTTCACAAAAACTTTCTTTTATGCCTGTATTCTCAGTTGACACCTTGTTACTGAATGGCTTAAATTTTGATCACGATACTTTAACATGTTTACTGGATGCAGTCCTCTTATATATTCAACAAACAAACAGACTTGATTAACTGCAGACATAGTAATTTTCAATTTCCAATTTTTATGATATTCATCCTTTCTTTGTCGTCTAGACTGTCTTTTTAAGTTTTTATATTGTTACTCTTTTGTTTTTCTTATCCATAATTGCCATTCTGTGGCCACCTAGGGACAACATCTTTTTTTTGCAAATCGCACAACTTTCTATGATAACATTTCTTTTTTATCAGAGGTGATATTCCGTGCATTTTTTCCTGCTGAAACATTCTGGCACCGGAAGAAGACAAAGAAGATAATTAGCTTTGTCACGTGCGAACTTTCCCCTTTGTGAGACAAAGAAAACTAGAAAATCAACTAGACAATCCCTGCGGGAAGACTGAAGAGTCGACTTCTTTTCAGGAAGATAGGTCCATAATGGTCTTTGGCCGCTGACCTTTTTTTAGCAGAATCAATAAAGATATACAACAATCATTCTCTCTCTGTTAATCCTACACTTGTATTCAAAGAAAGTAAAAAGGTGGTTTGCTAATCACACTGCTCTAGTCATGTGCTCAGAGCCGTTCTTTTAGGAGAAGACATGGTACTATAGTCAGACATTCTTGCGATGTGTATTTAATTACAAAAGCTTCTGTCAACGACTAGATTCATCCCAAAAATTAAAATAATCCCGCACGCGCTCCTGCATCTCTCTGGTAATCTTGGAATAGTGTTTTATGTAACCTAAATCAAATTTTGTCTAACTGACGTCAAGTTCGATAGATTTGGTTTTCTGGTAGGAAGAACACTATGACGGCGGTGAGGTAAAGTTTGCACAATAGCCTGTGTCTGATGACAAGTTGCTTCCCTCAGGCTTCCGTCCTGTCTTGAGGTTCAACTGAATTTCGTTTAAAACTCGGTCAGAACTGGAAAAATTTCGGAATTTTCCATGCGATTTGTGTTATTCTCTATGTGATCAGCTACACGACCTGTCCAGGCGTTACAGACTTACGCTTTTTTTTAGTCCGTAGCAATTTTTTCTGTAACGGAAGAGGCTGTGAGGACCGTTCTTGCGTCAGCTGATAGAGCTCGGTGAGTTTTGCATTCACTCTAGTTCTAAACCAAAGAATGCCAGTTTTTAATAAACTACGCCGACGTATTCAGAAAGCATTGTTTTCTATTCCACACATCTAAATCCATAAACTACAACAAAAAACAACTTTTTCAAACATTATTTTTTATTTGTTTTTTATTTGTTCTGGTGCTATTTGATGATATAATTAAAATGTCATCGTAAATTTTTCTTTACTGTTTGAATAATAGCAATATTCAATAACATCCTTTTTCACGGCTTTGACACAATGTATTTGCAATGTCTTATTGACAGATTTTGTTTTGCTGAACAGTTGTTTCAATTGTGTTTCGGATTTAGTAATTTCAGTTGTTGTTATTTCACTTAATATAATATTTGGTGTTTTCGCTTGAGCTATTTTTGTAAAATCTTTAGCATTTTTACACTGATGTTTACCAGCCATTATTTCATCATAAACTGTTCATTTTACCGTGCCTCCTAATCTATCTACAACTCCTTTATCATGGCTCGTGGCGTAAAAGTGCCACATTAAATGGAGCTGATGACATTCACTAATGTGAGTAAGGTTGCGAAATAAAAATTTTTTTGTTTAAATTGAGCAGCTGCCCCATCTGAAAAAAATTGTATTTGTTTCAATCTCGGTAAATATTGCTTCATTTCGTTAATCAAATAATTAATACAAACATCCACACAATATTTACTGTGTGTTACATCGTCAGATGGTACTGCTTGAAAAGCACTTGTACAAGTGCTTTTCAAGATCAAAACGCTTCCCAGTGTGATATCGAATGACGTGATTCTTTTGAAAGCGCACTAGGGTTTACATCGACTCCAAATTGTTCGAGAGTAACAGGATTAGTACAACTCGGCCTCCTGATGACGAATATCACGTTTAAAAACTTTAAAACAACGGTACGATGGTCTTCTAGCCCTGTGGAAATCCCATTTCCTAGCAGAACAGACCGTTTGTGGACATTTTCACCATTTTCAACTGAAACACTTTCATGAGCTGGTACCGTCAGATCAGATTCTATGTGTGCAGAGCTACAAAATCACTAGTCGATAAAATGTTCCAAAATGTTAAGCACGTTCTCACGAAAATTTTAAAAAAAATCCTTTTTTGCGAAAAGTAGACCTTTTTTGTAAACCTTTTTTCCCCCATAAAAGCATAGCAACACACGACAACAAGATATGTATTCGATGCGTCTTCTCAAGCTCTATCCGATGAAGTGATTGAAATTGAGATCAGAAAACACTTAATGCCAAAAAAAACAACTTTTGGAGGCGATTTTTCTTGTTTTTGAAAGTTTGAATACGTGCTGCATCATTGTACGGGATTGCAGGACGTGGGATGACATATATTTCGCATGTACTCGACGTTTCTTCTTCCTGGTTCTTGGCCCTTGATGAAAACCTGTTTTTCTAGTAGCCCACGTCGAGTACGTGCGAAATGTATGTCATCCCACGTCCTACAATCCCGTACAATGGTGCAGCACGTACTCAAACTTTGAAAAACAAGAAAAACCGCCTCAAAAAGTTGTTTTTTTTGGCATTAAGGCACGCCCCCCTGGACGGAAATGCCGATTTTCGGTACAAATTTCTTATCAGATTCTTATAAGACTCTTACGGAATTCGTGGCACTTTCGGGCGCTTTCCTATATAAGATTATTATAAGATTCGGATAAGATTTCCATAAGAATTTCCCAAAACGTTTTGTCTAGGGCCAATTGTCTGGTTTTAGCATGTTGTGAACACGAGGCAAACCTGTCCGCAGAAGCCAAAATAACGAACCACGATGATAATGTTCTTGAAACGTATGTAATATAAAAACGAGTTTTACAATACAAACTTGATTGTATGGTGAGATCAATTCCATAGCCATCAGAGACGATACGTGTTATTACTGCAAAATAGAGAACAAAATAATCTGCGATAGTTGATGCAAGAAAATATTGTGTGTATGAGTTGGTCCTTAATGCTTTTCGTGTGAAAATCAGAACATTTAATGTTAAACCAATGGAACCAAAGAGCAGTAACAGCAATGGAAAATAACAATTGAGTTCTACCGTCAGATAATTTAGTAAACTGTTTTTGGCTGCGATAGCAGTAAAAGAAGATGAGACAGAATTCGACGATGTTACATTCATCCACCGCATCCAGAGTTTTGTACAGGTAATAAAAAGGCGAAGAGAATTTATGAATTTATTTTAATTGCTATATTTGATCGTTCAGTGCAGAATACTGTCACATTAGTGTTAGTTACTGCATTGTTTAGAAGCACTATTGCGATCTATGTGCACAGTTGAAGTACTTCTTATTACATATTCTGAATCTATGAGAAAAACTGAGTTAATTTGGAGCCAGTTTGGTCGTAAGATTGAAGATGGCACAAGCATTTGAAAGCACACTCCTCCGAACACTTGTGAAGAAGTGTCCTATTCGTTATTTTGTTTATAACTCTGCCATCTCACATCCGATCTTTTCGAGCAACGTCTCCTTTGATAGAGAATTGAAACTGTGGCAGAAAATATATGTTTCAAATTTTTGTGACGCAAATTAAATTTTCTAGAAAACGATCACTTGAAAAATGACGGCTTTCTGCGAAGCTAGTTTTCGCAATTTTTCTCATTTGTTGAAGCCGTTTATGAACTACCCACTGTTTTCAAGGGCAATGCTTGTAGAGCGTTCAATTCTGCACAAGATAGGCTGTATTTCAAATTTTTAAATGAAGTAAGTTCAAATTTAAGAAACAAAGTGGCTAACTGGCAAGTCACTTTTCGGTTTTTTTTGCGAAACTCACAAATAAGGAGATATTTGCAGTCATCGTCAAGAACTGACCCAGGATATGTATCATTTTTGATTCCAATGTGAACTAAAAAGTTTTGTTTTTGAAAACTATCGACCAGGCCATTAGGATTCTCACGATTTTTGAGCTCTATAACTTCGTCACAACCATCTTTCAACAGCAGATTAATAGGCTTTCGATGACGCTCTTTCACTTAACATTGTTAAAAAGTCTAGATTGTGCTCACATATGCTTCTTATTGTTTTCTCAAGGCTGGTTTTCGCAAAATTCAGCTTTGACAAATCATTCGACATTCAAAAATATCTCCAGGAGAAAGAGCATAGTCGAAGATCTACAGTATAAATCTACTCTTGAAAGATGATTATGACAAAGTTATAGAGCTCAAAAATCGTGAGAATCCTAATGGCCTGGCCGATACTTTTCAAAAAAAAATGTTTAGTTCACGTTGGACTCAAAAATGATACATATCCAGGGTCAGATCTTGATGATGATTACAAATATCTCCTTATTTGTGAGTGTCGACTGGGTTTTGATGGAAGAAACCGTAAAAAAGCTAAAAATGACTTGCCAAAATGCAAGCTGGTATTAGAGCAAATATTAAATATTTAAAAGAACTATTTTTGAAAAAAAATGAAGAAATAATGAAAGAGACAAAATTAAAATCAAAACAACAAACAATCATAACAACAGCTGCTAGTAATTCCACTCCACCATCATTATCATCGTTTATAAAAATAGCACCAGTTTCAACTAATTCAGTTCCTCAATTACCACCACCACCAATGGCAATACATGAACAAAAAGATTTTATATTAAAATTAATTAAACAGTGGTGTTTAGATAATAAAGAATGAACATGAACTTGTTTTATCAGAAAATTATTTTACGTTAAAATCCACGGGTAACACACTTTTTGATTTATCCACAATTAAAGATGATCAGATGAAGTCAAATCGTATAGTTTATGTCGCAAAATGTTGTACCATCAAACCAGGTCATTGTGCTCTAATACCTGTACCATTCATTTTTGTATGTAATTGGTAGAGTTTTCATTAAGAAAAGTATAACCAAAGCAGCGGTTTTAATCATTTTGAATTTCCAACGTTTCGATTTATTAAAAAATCATTGTCAAGGATATAT